AATGTGTTGTTTCTTTCTTTTTAACAGAAAGGATAAGAACTGCATAATAAGCTCTCAACTCTCCTCCATGGTGCAGGAAATGCTTTGTCAAACTGGAGTACAGCATGATAACTCAAAGAATGAAGCACTCTACATCTGATGTAGGCTGTTAAGCAGATGGGGGTGGGGAGAGGGAGGAGGAAGGACATCTATACAGATGGTCTGGAATTTGCGTTTTGTAATATAAAGATGAAAGCATTTCTCAGCCTACTACATGCACTTATTTCAGCACAACCTTGCAAAATAAGACAAGAGGGAACCTCCTTTCCCACTGCATAGTACAACTTCAGGAAAAAATCAAGTTTAAGGGTATAAGGTGGAAGAAATCTAAAGAAAACAGACTCTGGAAGTCTCCAAACACCAGCATCACTTCTCAACACTATTCTCAAAATGGAGCCTAGAACAGAAAATAAGAGTGATTACTAAAAGCTCCAACTGAAAAAAAGTAGCAAAAGTTACATTCTTGCAAAGCCTTTATTAGTTAAGACTGAGACAAGACAGAACTTCTCTGTGCTAGAAATACAAATTTTTCTGACCCCTCACCTGGAATTCACTCTTCCTGCGCTCTTCAGGGTCACAAGGAAGACCTGCATCTCCTGCACCCTGGGAGCCTTCTCCTCTCTACCAAGCACCTCAGCTTGCATTTGACACCCATATTGTATACACATTATACAGTGTGCTCTGACAACAGGCTCAACATCATGTGAAGAGAAACTGGATGGACTATGACTTTAGCCCCAGAGGCTACAGCAGCTTCTGAATTTTTAGGGCAAAAAGCAAGTTCTCTGATTCACAACATCCAATACCTGTAATTGCACTAATGACCTGTGTCTCCAGTACACACAGGGGAAGAAGTGCAGAAATTGGCTTTATGCAGCTTTTTCTTGATGGCAAGGAAGAGGATGACAAGAGACACAGATCCCACTGAGTAACAGAGGGGAAGTTTACTCTTCTAACCACTTTTATATCTAATTAAGCCACACAGACCACAGAAGGTAAGGGAAGCCAAATGAACCACATTAACTCTTTCAAATTAAGAATAGTAGCAGATAGTAGCATAAAGAAGCTCCCCATGATCACTTTCATTACTTACACCACTGAGAAGTAGAGCAATAGCAGCTACCGCCCTTTTGAGGTAATCAGAAATCAAGCAATAAAGAATCACAGAATCATAGAATTGCCTGGGTTGAAAAGGACCATAACAATAGTCTAGTTTCAACCACTAGACCAGGCTGCCCAGACCCACATCCAGCCTGGCCTCGAATGCCTCCAGGGATGGGGCATCTCCAACATCCTTGGGCAACCTGTTCCAGTGTGTGTGTGTGAAGAACTTCCTCCTAATATCTACCCTAAACCTCCCGTCTTAGTTTAAAACAAAGAAATGAAAGAATGATTTTAAAACTATTGCCACCCACTGCTGACCCACAGTTGGCCATGTCAAACTGCTGAGCTTATCATTTCTGCATAACACACAAGCCAATGTACCTCAGCTTCACAGGAACAGTGTCAAAGGTGTGATTTATACTGATGCGTACCCACTCACACAGCAAGGCCAAGGCAGAGCAGTGGTCAGCTGCATTACTGGCACCTGCTATCAAGCTGCTGACAGGAGAGCAATCCTTACTTTTAAGCACAGGCAGGAATCATGACTTGAAGCAATACACAGCAACTTAGCAGCTCAATGCACAGCTTCGCAAATTTCTTATTAAAGACAAACTTTTTAAAAAAACATATAATACATTGAGATTGTAGATTCTCTGCATTTTCATTTATTTACATTAAATGCCAAGAAACTATAATGTTTTAGTTTGGTTCCAAAGCTATTTTTCAGACAGCACTGAAGAATAAAGTACCTACAATAGTGGGAAAGAAACTGTGAAGTGAGAAACAGCTTAAGCATTTGTTGTTGTTGTTTTTAATTGTTGGTTGTTCTTTTGGTGGAGTTTTTTTTTTTTGTGGCAGAGAAGATGTTTAAGTTTGCCACATGCTATTAAACAACCGTCACTTCTCCCAAATTTTGAATGACAGAAGTTTGTCTGGCAAATATGTTGTTTTCTTCAAAGCTGTACTTCTTTCACTCCGGAACTTCTGCAATATCCTACTTGAAACAGAGAGAAATTCATCTGGTGGAAATGAAATGGATTTTTAAGAAGCCCGGGCATGTGCTTAACTTCTTAAGTCCTCACCATTTCCTCTCCAAGGCAAGATCTCGCAATACAAACCTTTCAAATTTCCATATGAATTAGCCTGGAAGAACACGTGAAGAGCTTCTCCTGAAATATATGGCTAAAAATGAGCACTAGCTTGCAAGCCCTTCCAACACCCAAAATATCAGTTACATCAATACCAACTGTCACCAAATAAACTTTTCCTTAACCACTAAACAAGCACACCTGTCACTTCATGATAAAGTGCATACCTCATAAATGAGGCTTAATCCATTTTTTTCTCAAGTCCCACAGTTCTTGCAAAAAGCTTATCAATTTATTATTACACTTTACATCACAATGCACACGTTGAGCAGTAACTCAGTAGGTTATTTTACCTTGATCTTTTGCTTCAACTCCCTGGTACTATCCAAAAAGCAACACCAACAGAGAAGTTGATGTTTAGCTTTACTCCTGGATGGTAAGCTGAACAAAGCTATTCATCCCAAACTAAGTTATCTAAAAGATCCTTTGCTTTCCAAGAACATTGTCAAGATCCCTAAGATCCGGGCACAGTAACTAAACACTGAAAACGTCAGTAGGCAATTGCGTTTCTTTACAGGACAACAGTCACCATGCCAACCCCACACAAGCAAATATCTATTGATAACACTATCAGGTAACAAGCCAATGAAGTTGCTCCAGAAGGAAAGTACACAGCCTAGCCTCTCAATGCATACACCAGTGTTCCCACAAGTGTCCTGTAAACAGGCAGCATTTTTAAGTAGTTAAGATATGCTTAGCGTATTCTAGTGGTTTGCAGGTCTTAAATAATAGGAATAGCATCTATTTTTGCTCTATTGCAACACAAAAGGTGGTCATAAAACCTGCACATGACAGAGACAACTCTGGATGGGGGTGGGAAAAAGTACATATTCACAGTTTATAGAGGAACTATAGGAGAGTCAACCAATGACACAGCGACCACTGCTTTTAATGTATATTTAGACTCTGTTTTTAACTTATTACCAGAGCTAAGCACATTTTGTTTATCTGTCTGTGAAATAAAACGTGTATATTCTCACAGTGTCAATAATCACACTTAAAAAGCAACCCTGAAAAGAATCCACGTAAGTAGGTTAATCTAGGAGCATCACTTCAGAACTGCCAGCATTAACAAACTCCTTTTTCTATGGCCCATCTACTGGGCAACATGAGGTATAACAGCCACAGCTGGAGTTTGGAAAACTGCTGCTGGATTCGTTTTTGTTTCATCTGTCATCTATTTCAAAACCTAATTTTGACCGCTTTGTATCATCTGTCTTCTATTTTAGAACTTGATTTTGACAGCACGTGCTAGTGTGACTGGGGAAACTAAGAAATGAGATCACCAAAAAAAAAGACAGTGAAAAGATGAGAACTTCAACAGTATATTTAGAGACCACTAAAGCCCATGTTTTGTGCAACATTTAACTCTACCAACAATTAACATCACATACAGAAGAGGTTCTTGTTAAATTTTAAGCATCCATACCCTTTCAGTCAGCAAGAAAGAGCTCATGATAAATTCTCTGACATCCAACAACAGTTACCATGAGGAAAAATACCACAGCATTCAGGTAGATCTTGTAACCAATAAGAGGTTAATAAAAAGAGGCAATTGCACCCCTCCCTTTTAATCTATACAAGTAACTTTCAGGAAATTCTAATACCATGTCAACAGGATTTATTTTAAATAGTTATTGAAAGAATACTATCCAGCATAAGTAACGTTTCTAAATTCCACTATATTGAAATACCGAAAAGCAGATATTCTATCACCCACTGTCACCACATTTTACACATCTTTAGCAGTAAGGAGAGATCTTACACAGAGCTGTGATTTAAGCAATTAAAGTGTATTAGAAACAAATATACCGCAAAACCTGCATTTAAGTTTCGGAATCTCAGTTTTGAAGACAGCTTCACATAACCTAGTCTTGAACACTGAGACACTTGCACTGCACAAAGCCTCAGGTGGCCCCAAAAAGCTACCACCAGGATGCCACTGATCATTGGTACTGTTAACTATTTTCTGATTTCTTCAAACAATTAAGATGACTCAACTGCAGACATGTCCAATTGCTTGGAATAACATTGTAACAATGGATTTTAAGGGCCAGAAAGGATGGCTATGCCTTCTACACTAGCTCAACATCCTCCTGCATATCATAGGTTGATAGATTTCAGTTTATACTATCCACCAACAAGCTGATGTCTTGAGCAAGCAAGTAAAACCCACTGAAAAGATGAAGCAGTTTTGAAGTCACATGAGTTATCTCTCTGAATACCATAATGTAACCCTCACCACACACACACACACTCTCCCTCACGACTGATACTACTGGTTATTAACTAGAGTGAGAAAATATCCACTGGCACTTGAGAAGAGCTCAGATCCTTGCAGCCCTGGCTAGCCAGAAGGCTACAATTTAAATCACCTTGGGGAAAAAAAAAAAAAAGAGATACGGCTGCATACATCCAGAGAACATAAGGGCAGACAGAATAGCACTAAGAAATTACATGCTGGGAAGACGTAAGAACAGGAAACATGTGAAAGGCTCTTACTTTTCACAGCCACATCGACAGAACGTCTCTAGCTGACAGCCCGACAGCCTCGCCAGTCACGATAAGCAGCCCTAACTTTTCCATCCGCCAAACAAAAGAGGACCTCAGTCTCAGAGGGGGAGCCGTAAAGAACACGAGAAGCCCACATCCGGAGCCCTCTGCACCGCGGTCTCCCCCAGCGCAGTCCCGCAGCCCGCGGGCACCCACCTGTGCCGGTGCTCGTCGTGCCCCTGCCCGTGGATCAGGAAGCCTCCCAAGTGCTTGCCCCCCTTGCTGGCGTCCACGTGAGGGATGAGCACGTCCTCCAGCCCCAGGTCAAAGCGCTTGTGCTTCGAGGAGTCGGGCAGGAAGAAGAACGCCCCGAAGCACAGCGTGATGAAGGCACTCAGGATAAGGAGCAGGATGAATTTCTCCGACAGCCTCAGGGTAGCCCTGTGGTGAGGGAAGGACGAGGCGCCCAGGTTGAGGGCGGGCAGCCTGCGCCCGGCCAGCGGCAGCAGGGCGGGAGCGCTCATCCTGCCGCTCACGGCCGCGCCGCGGGGCGCCCCGGCAGCCCCTCAGCCCCGGCGGGGGCCGACCCGGGCCCGCCTCGGCTCCGTCGCCTCTCGGCCCGGCGCAGGGGCGGCCACCGGCCTCACCATCCTTCCCGCGGGCGCCGGGCCGCGGCCCCCCTAGCGCGACCAACCGCCGCGCGGGGAGCGAGGGCCTGGCCGCCCCGACGGCTCCCGCTCCGCCGCCGCCCGACAGGGCCCGAGCGGGCGGCTCCGCTCAGCGCCGCTCCTCGAGCTCCGCGGCGGCCCCGCTCCGGGCTGGCGGCGGCGAGCGGGCTGCGAGGGACCCGGCCTGGCGTGCGGCGCCGCTCTGCCCGCGTCTCCTGAACCGGGCCGGGCGGAGGCTCATCCCCGCCGCCCCGCTGCGAAAGGCGAGCGGCACCGGCACGGTCGCCGCAATTGCACTCCGGACCCGCTCCTCGCCCCTCCCGCGCCTGCGCAAAGGCAGCAGGCGGCGCAAGCGCAATGAGGAAAGCGAGGACTCGGGGAAGAGGCCGCCAACGCCGCCCGCCTCCTCGGCTGGAGGGGAGGGGAGAAGGGCGGAGCCTGGCGGCGTTGGGGCTGTCTGAGGGCGGTGGGGAGCGGGTGCTTTCTGACGGTTTCTGGGATAGCGACTTGGCGTGAGTGTTTGTGTCTCACCGCGCTTGTGCGGCAGAGCTCGCCTTTGTCCGGGCCGCATCAAGAAACTAGAAAACTTCAGGCAAGTGGGAATGGTGGGGCAGGAGTGCTGCCACAGGGCTGGGGTTTCTGCTGAGGGCAGAAAATTACGGTCACACGGTTGGGGCTGGCAGGGCCCTCAGGGTCCATCTGGCCCAAGCCCTGCTCCAGCACACACCCACACACCCACAGCAGGTGCCCAGGCCCACGTTCAGGTGCCTCCTGGAGATCTCCAGGGAGGAGACCCCACAGCCTCTCTGGGCAACCCGTGCCAGTGTTCCATCATCTGCACAGCACAGAAGTGCTTCCTGACATTCAGAGGGAGCCTCCTGTGTCCCAGCATGTGTACATTGCCTCGTGTCTTGGCACAGAGCAACACTGAAAAGAGCCTGGATCTGTTCTCTGCATCCTCCTGTCAGATGTTTGTAGATGATGAGATACTCCAGAGCCTCCTCCAGGTTGAACAGCCTTTCTCAGCCTCTTACCACAGGAGAGGTGCTGCAGGCCCTTCAGCATCTCAGTGGCTCTGTTTTGGACTCTTCTTGAGGATGTCCTTGTCCCTTTTGTACAAAGGAACCCAGAACTGGATCCAGTGCTCCAGGTGTGACCTCACCAACACTGAACGGAGGCGAGGGATCACCTACTTCCACCTGCTGGCAGTGCTCTGTCTCAAGCAGCCAAGAAAACCACTAGCCTTTGCTGTGAGCTCATATTTCTGGCTCATGCTCAGCTTGGTGTCCAGCAGGACTCTTAGGTCCTTTTCTGCAAAACTGTTTTCTGGCCAGGCAGCTCCTATGCAAAAGATTTTTTTTCCTGCAAAACCCACAACAGAACATTTAAAGATGGTAAAATTACCTCCTCTATAGGATGGATGAGGTGAAGATGCGGTACGTGGGAATACCAACTGTAGTACTTTACCGTACAGTTAGCAAGGAAAACATTCAGTCTCCAAAACAAAATTGGAAATATACCTGAGGTACCTTCTACAAATACTAAACATGACCCTGTTTCCCTGTGCAGGTATGCATCCCTGCCTGCATGCATGCAAAAGTCCAAGTTCCTTGTGAAGGATTTCATACAGAACTAAATAGGGAGGTAAAAGTCTGGAGAAAATGTCTGCAGGCCCATATTCAGAGGAGCTAAAAGAGCAATAGCAAGTCCATAACTTTTGGAGACAAGGTGCAACTCCATCTCTTTTCAAAGTAGGGTGTTTTTAGACATTTCACAAGATCACTGGAGTCTTGAGTATTACCAGTTTATGCAGAGTGGACTGTGCTTAGTGAGTTCAGCAAAAGGGGCTGAATCACAGCCAGGGAGACAGAGAGACTGGCCCAGCCTGCAGAAGCACAGTTACCTTGTCTGGAGAGGACTTCTAAGGTGTACAGCAGCATCCCAGGTTGAGGAATTATGTTGGCATGTGAAAAAATATCCCAAGTCAAGCAGGACATGCTGCATTAATGAAGGATAATGCTTGGCTCCTGGTCTCGGTGTGGTATACATGGAAATTATCCCTCAGGAGTTGGGACAACTCCAGGAAAAGAAAGCAGCTCAGCTAATTGAAAAACCCCGATGGTCAGATGTAGTGGCACAAGTGTGGGTGGGTGAGTCAGAAATATCCAGATCAATAAGCCTTGTCATTCAGATTACCTGAAATTAACGGATTAAGGTGAAAGAGACCATCTTCTGCATGAGACTAGTTCTTCTCAAGTCAATCCCTGTGTCCTAACATCCAAGCTCTGACTCACACCTTGCTGGGTCTTTTTGCAGAATGTGCCATAGAGAATGGCCTTTCCAGTATGTTTACCCAGCTAAACTTTTCCATCAGTTCATGTTCTCGCTTTCTCTATGCTGTTTTTTACTACCTGAACCTATAACAAATCTGTGCAGCAGACAGATGAACCCTGGTCACTAATCTTATGCTAGTCAAAAATGGGAAGAAAGTGTGAAATTCTGCTATGAGGTGATGAAAATTAAGGAGACACAGATGCAAGAAAAAGAGCATAAATGAAAAGATCGGTAAAAGCTACAACGATGCACTCCAGCTAGCAGAGTGTCTAAACATAACATTATTTGTTGTTACACAGGATCAGCTGTGGTTGATCAAAAGGTTCCAATTGGCCTTTTGGCCATTTCATCTGTCTTCTAGCTTTGATCTGGTAGCCATATATCTTCACATATGTTCCCATCTTCACTTGTTAAATTGCTTATTATATTCTGAAAAAAAATAGATCACTCCATGAAGACCTTTGTTCTCCAGCATTTTTGCCCTTTACTTCACTCTTCTCTGCCAGCTGCTAGTTTTTCTTTTGCTTTATAGTCTTTAAAAGACTGAGCAGAAGCTTCCAATTTCTTTATAAAATGTTTCTTCATGTTTAGCACATTGCAAGGAAGTGACATTTCTGTAGGCTTTGGAGCTTATGATGACCTTTCCAAATTCTAAAGCATTTGTGTCTAAACTGTGTCTAAACTATGATAAAGTTTTTCTTCAGTTTTGTGCATAGTTTGACTTTCCTGTTCTCACCAAAGTCTACAAGTCATTTTTCATCCTTTGATTCTGTCATACTGGGTAATATGCATATCCCTGTAAACCTGCCTGTGATTTTCCACACTGCAATAGCGTTGCTCTGTAGCTGAACAACATTAAATATAGAATGATTTTGAATTAGTTGTTTCCATAAGCCTGTGATATATAGGTTCTGCATCTATTAGTGTTTTCTCAGAAATGCCCAGAACTTTCTCATAAATGCCTTGTGCTGAACCTTAAAGGTTTTCATAAGAGCCAGGAATTTCCAGTATTCAGTTTGTTATCTTTGATTACTTATGTAACCAGGAGCTTGAAGTACAAAAATGCTTGCTCATCAGCACTGAGGTCACATAATTTCCACAAGCCAACATTTCTGAAGACTTAATAGGATAGTTCACATTTCCTAAAGGTAGAAAATGTAAGTCTGATTTTCCTGTGACAGTACTGATGGTTCAGACAATGTTCTCATATTCTTTCCTTGCTCTTGAAATGGTCAGAAAGGTCTTGTTAAGCATCACAAACTGGGCACACTATCTTCAGTCATTATTTTCAAAGCTTCTTTTTCCCAAATATTTTTCAGGCTTTCCTTTGATCCCAAAGTTCTGTGGCCAATCTGACAGAGCTCAAAATAGCATCCAAACTGACTATGACTGGACTCCAGAGAGCATACTTTTCACAAAATTTTGTCTCTAATGGTTCCTGTGATTCTGTCTTCACGTTTCTCATCCCATCCCTCCAATCATCACTGTTTTGGAAAAGACTCCAGCCAATCTTTTCCACAGGATGTTGTGTTTGGGCCATTATCTTCTCTATATATGCATACTCCCTGTGTTGTTGAACGTGCATAAATATATATTTTACGATTATTTCCATATAGTCTTTCCACAAATCTACCTCTTCAATTCAGACCCCATTTTGTTCAAACACCACTTACACTTATACCTGCATGATGAAGGTTAGTCTTTGTTTGTCCTCAGTGTGGCTATAGGATAATTAACACTTTCCTAATCCCATTCTCCTACTTCCTTATTTGATCAAGATAGAGAATATAATTTTCTCTTAATTCAAGCTCATAGCCCATTCATGGTCTTCTGCTCTGAAATGTGCCTATGTCCTCATATCCATGCTCTGAAACACACCTTGTTGAGTTTTTCTATGTAACATATCAAAGACACAGCTTTTCTCTTTCATCACCTCAACCAAACTTTTCCCCGTAGGCCTTGACTGTGGTTTTCACAAAGGCAGTCTTGCACCATTCTGCTCCATTCAAAGTGCTAAAGGAAAGATTTTTTTTGCATGCAATTGTCTTCGCTGTTTTACTTCAAGCTTCTCATCCTCCCATTCTTTCCTGACATGACACCCTTCTCTCCTAGCATTTCTGATTCTCTACTAAGTCATCAGCTCCTCCTATAATATCAGCCTCCAGCACACATTTGCTACTATATCAAATACTCCCTTGCTTTCTTCTGTGCTTCCCTAAGGCATGAAGAAACTTGCACATCAAAAAAGAAATTTGGAACCATGCAAGATTGTTACACTCTGCCAGTAAATCTGCAGCTATGAAAACTGAACTCTGGCACAATAACTTCTGAACAGAGATACAGATCTGGCACAAATATTGGATTGTAAAAGAAAAATGTGAGGTCTCAGAGTGTGAGTTGGGATCAGCAGCAGAAGTGCCATTGTTTGGCTGAGGAAGTGAAAATAAGCTTTCCAAATACTCTTAGAAACAAGTATCAGAAAATGCATTGTTTCAGGACCTTGAAACCGAATGGTTGCCTATAGAGTGCACTGGAAGAACCATCCTGAAATTATTGGAGCTTGTTAAACACATGGAAGAAA